GGCTTCATAATATTCTCAAATTCCTTTTCAAACAAACAAAAAACTTAATTCATATGCTTTAAAAACTACAGTACATATCATCTAACTCACATTTTGGGCTTTTTTGATGCTGTCATCTCCATATTCCGAATTCTGAAAAGCCATGAGAATGTATCTATTTAGTAAGCCATCTATTGATAACTCCTGTAGAGTTTTATTTGAGAAAATGCCATACCATTGAAGAAAATTTCCTAATAGCTAGAAAGAGGAGGGAATAAAAAAAAAATTGAGGTAATGTTAATCAATTAAATTAGGTACAAAGTAACACAGAGACAATAAACGCAACCAGGTACACTTGATTACAAAAGGGGATGGGGAATTGTTTTGGAATGATGGAAATATTATGTACCTTGACTTGGTAGTGATCACATGGTTTATCTGTTCATCAAAACTTACTGTATGTAAATTAATTTCAGAAAAAAAAAGAAAACCCCTGTGGTTTCCCAGTTTTTATGGTAAGACCAAAATCATTCACAGTTCCTACTAGCTCCTATATGATTGGGACCTGTTTCACTTCTTCTCTAATTCCAGTCATCCCGGCCTTTCTTCAGGTCCTCTAGTGTACCCTCTCCCTTTCCTGAGGACCAACTTTGCCTCTGCACCAATCACTGAAATATCACTTCCTCAAGGTAGAAGGGGATCTTCTGTGCACCTTGCCATGTGCTCCCAGATGATCCTGAATTTCCCTTTCACACCTGAGATTACTTGTTCACCATCTGTTAACTGTGCTGGATTGTATGTTCCATAAAGGCTCCATTGCTACTTTATTCACTGATGTATTTCCACAATTTTGAAGAGGAACTGGCACTCTATTTGCTGAATACATTAACTGTGGTTTAGCTAGGCCTTTTGTTGTCTAGGTTAGCCTCTAGTTTAGAACTCAGAATTTACTTTCTCCTATGGAAACATCAAACTGGAATTAAAATTAGTTTGAAATAAAATTAGTAAAATGGAGACTTTGTGTAAATAATATAAGCCTATAAAGTTACTTGCCCAATTACTAAAATACTTTTGAAAATATATGAAGGCAAACAAAATCTAAAGTCTCTTAGATAACTGACACGTACCTTAACTGAAGACCAAAACTGTCGTTGAAAAAACAAATAAGGCCCACAGTTTTTATTCTCTAAGACACTAAGTAAAAAAAGAAAAACATCATGACCAGATGTTTTATATATAAGTGCCATATAATTCATGCAAGAAAGTATTTCTACAAGCAAAATAGCTAAACAAAGGAATCAAGTGATTTCCAAAGTTTCAAACAATTATCTTCTGGAAGGTAATACATTTCAAAAGTTATGGAAATTTATTCTGAGATACTGAGGGAGAAGAAAGAGTTCATTTATTTTCTTGATTTCTGCTTAAGTGAACAACTTCACCACTGAACTATAGCTCTTTAGAATACTACTTTGCACAAAGTAAATTTGGATTTCTAGCTACCTTTAATTTTCAAGAACTTAAAAGCCTTCAATGCAAGGCAATAGAGATTATTCTCTTTAATGTTCTTAGGAACTACTTACTTTTTGGGATATAAGGGCATGAATACATCATCATCTAAAGTTCTTCTCATTCTCAACAAAAGTGCCTTTAGGTACACCTAAAGAGTTAAAGTAGATCATATATATTAATAAGGGCTATGATAAAGTTAACTTGAAAGAAATAAAAGTAAGTCATACTGCAAATCATATAATCCATAGAGTATACAATGTGAGTAAACGTCCTCAAATTTTTTATTTTCCTCACTGAAATCTCCAATGATATTAACACTTATACTCCATTAACTTACCTATCAACAAGTTTAGAAACTAGCCACGAAACAATAACTATTTTATATGCTGTTTAAATGTTTTAGCATTTGAATAATCAATTTTTACCCAATTAAATACTGCATTTTTCTTTTTCCCCACAAATATGGTTTGATGGGGTTGGGGTGGTAAGAGGATGAAGAGAATACTGGAAGTGAGATACTACCTAGACTATTAGTATCTTCCTTCCATACAGCTTTTTAAAAATGGAAAATGATTTCTCAAATTGTATACATTCAATTTTGGTCTAACTGGCAGAGAGTAAGATTTCTGGTTGGTGTAGAAACATAACCACTCATTCTCAACTTCTGTTCATTTTCAAAAGGAGAAAAAAAAGCTTTCTAAAAATAAGTATTATATTACCTGTGTATTTTTATTTTCTGCATTCACTACTGAAGAGTATCCACTTATTAATTTTAGTGTAATTCCAACCATTCTTGAAGTCTGTGTTGTAGAAAAAGGGTCCCACATATTTTCAGCAATCACTATTAAGAAAAACATGTGTCAATATACAGAAGTAAATGGCTGCTTACTTAAATCTCATGTCAAGTAGTTCTCAAATTACAAATGCCAATCCTGATTTACTTTTCATCTCTACAGCACAAAAATTTCAGTCATCTTTGTTCCATTAACCACAAGAATTCTGAAAGGCAGGGATAAGCAGAGAGGATAAATTCCTCTTATTTCTGCTACTCAGTGAAGACAAAGGTGGGAAGGGAAAAAAAGGAATTTTGTATTATGAGAGATGCTGCTTGGCATCAAGAATTTCTAACTAAACTTGAAATTTATTATTATTTTAATAGGTTCCTATATCAACAATTCCTAATTTTTTTTTTTTGAGAAACCAGTAATAAAAACACTGAATAAAATAATAAAAGCACATTTTTCTCCAGAAAAATGCATATCCTCCAAAACTAAACATTCAGTTTTGGTTTCAGCACTTTGAGTCTCTAAAACTCACAGTGGATCCATGGCTTAATTACTGTCCCCAATTCAGGCCTATCTCCAGGTGGTACACAAATCCCAGGCAAGGAACAACTCGTTAGCCATCTCTGGGCTGGATGATAAATTTATCATTTATAATAATTTCTATGAGGAAATATGCTCTGGATTAAAAACCTCTTAAAAATAGAATGGAGAAACCAAATGTTTCTGATGTTCAATTCAGAAAGCTTTACCTGTTAGTTTAGGAAGAATCACCTTTTCCACAATGGTAGGTAGTAGTGCAACATCTACATCATCTTTTTCTTGCTCCCGTTCTTCACAACCATAAAACAGCAAAGATTCAAACCATAGCATACTCTCAAAGTCACGACATTTTGCCTACCAAATAAGTAAATAAGTAAGATTACCCAAACACTTACTATAGTGGCTATTTCTGCTTCTAGACATAATAGATTTAGCCTTCCATCATAAACAACTAAAAACTGAACAAAATACATGAAATATGCTTTCAAACAATGGACCAAAGGCAGCAAAGAACTAGGATCCTTAAAAGAAAGGAATCAAACCAGGTATCACTCTGCTTTAAGACAGCCCAACAGGGTAGGGATTCCCAAGCAGAGTATAGCAGTTTTGCTGAGGGGCAGTTCTGGAGAGTGAACTACACATAAAAAGAACTTCAGAAATACAAACAAGGGTGCTCTTGAGCTTCTATTCTAAGACATGTATGTGTAGGGCAAGACTCCACAAGGTCAGACAATGAGACATGAGCTACAAGCTGAATGGCTTCTAGAACTCATACTATTTTCAGTTATCTTTCCTTTCCCAGTTTCAACCTCACCCTCTTTTCTTTACGGTTTATACATTCAACTCATCCGATCTCTTTCACTGAGCCTGTGGCTCCACCCATTTGTTTGGTAACTTCCAAACCCTATCTTAAACATAACTATTAGACCTATATAGGCAATTCCAGTCTCCTTTGTCATACACTAGGCCAACAGGTCCTACTGATTTTATTTTCTTGCACTCCCAATGTCCATTACCACTGACCTACCATATTTTTCAAAAACAGTGTGCCCATATAAATAATGAGCACACACATAATGGGCAGAAATAAAATTATATAGAAAAGTTCTGACACAGTGTGCTCATGCATATACTGCATGTCTCACGACATTTCCAGAAGTGAGTTTTGGCCTCACTTACCTTTACTCAACAATCTAAAAATGTTACTTTTGATCAAATTTGTGTAATAAAGATACAAACCACGGTCAAGAAGTCATGGATCAAGTATGGTAGCACCCCAGTAATCAAAAATAAGTAATTGTAACTGTATGCTTACATACATACTTACATACATAGTTACATGCTTACTTAGTCCTTGCTGTGGCATCCCACAGCAAGGACTAAGAATGGGAGCCAATCTGTGCCCAGGCATATCACTCTAGAGATGGAGAGAGGACTGGGTGGAGGGATGGTTCCATGGCAGGCAGGAGATTTAAATGGCCTGAGTATGGTGGCCAGTGAGCCAAACAGTGCTGCTGCAGTGTGCCACACCCCCAGAGTGGCCTTTCCAGTCCAGGGTGCACAGACACATGGACTTCCTGGACCAGGACCAGTTGCCCTGGTAAGGGCTATTTCTGGAGTGGAAAAAGTGATTTTCTTCCTGCATCAGAGAAAGTGGTTTGCAGAATAGGGAAGGAACCGTGCCAGGAGAGGAGCTACTTTAGAAACTTTAAGGCAGGTTGGTGAGTGTCTGCTGCTAGGAACCAAACCTCCACGTCAACAGGCACCAAGACGAAGACTCAGCATTAAATCCGTTGGACAGAAAAAAAAAAATGGAAATGGAAATAAGCAACATGTAAAAAAAATATTGGCATAGTGTGCTTATGAACATAACTGGTGTGTGTTGCACAGTATGCAAAAAACATAATGTGTGCATTAATTGCATAAAGTATGGTAGTTCAGGCCCTCTTTTCACACCTATCTAATTGTTTTTTCCCACTAGTTTCTAAATTACTCTAGGACCAAGGCACCAAGTTCTTACCATTCATGTTCATATTCTACCATCATTGCATATGCTGTATATGAATTGAAAAGCAACAAAGAGCTGTTTCAGGAGGGGATGGACTATGTCTTAGTCATCTAGTGCTGCTCTAACAGAAGTAACCACACGAGTGACTTTAACATTAAACAGCAATTTATTTTCTCATACTGTAGGAGGCTCTCACTGTCACTGAGTTGATTTTGAGTCGTAGTGACCCTACAGAACTGCCCCATAAGAGTTTCCAAGGCTATAAATCTTTACAGAAGCAGATTGCCTCATCTTTCTCCCACAGGGTGGCTGGTGGGTTCAAATCACTGACCTGTGCTTACCAGCTGAATACTGTAACTACTGCGCCACCAGAGCTCCTAACTCACTACCATCGAGTTGTATCTGACTCATAGCAACCCCTCCTTGGGTTTCCGAGGCAGTATCACTACGGAAGTTGATTGCCCAACCTTCCTTCGAGAAGTGGCTGGTGGGTTTGAATTGCCAGCCTTCTGGTTAGCAGTCAAATGCCTTAGGCATTACGCCACTAGAGCTCCTCCAGAGCTCCTAAAAGTCTGAATTCAGGGTGCCAGCTCCAGGGAAAGGTTTTCTCTCTGTCAGCTCTGGAGGAAGGTCCTTGTCTCTGAGCTTCTGCTCCTGGGTTTTTATTCATATGGCTTGACTCCTCTCTTCTCTCACTTAGTTAAATCTTTCATATCTCAAAAGACACTGACTCAAGACATACCTTACACTGATTCTGTCTCATTAACATAACAAAGATAATCCATTCCCAAATGGATTATAACCATAGCCATAGAGGTTAGGATTTACAAAACTTTTTTTGGGACACAGTTCAATCCATAACAGAGCTCAAAAGGAAAGATTTAAGATTATATACCAAGATACAATCTGTATCAATTAATATAGTCCTATCTCTCTTGAAAAATATTTTGCTTAAGCTTACCTCTCTAGCTTAAGAGACTAAAATTGCCCAGGCTTTATGTTATACTAGTTCCTAACACTGATGTAAGTCACCTACCTCAAGAGGAGTCCAAGTGAGGAGTTGAAGTCTTATAAGGGGGTTAAATAACTTTGGCAAACAAAGGCCAATGTAAGCATCCTTGTAGGACATGTAGTACTTTGAACGCCATGCTTCAAATTGTGACTTAATACAATCAATTGAATAGAAACTCTCAAGGACATCTTCAAAAATCTTGCCGGACTCTTTTGAAATGCGATCTAAGAACAACAACAAAACCCACACAGAACCATAATTTATCATGGAGTAGAAAAACACAGTTCAATATTTTAAGTGTTATCTTTATAGCTTGTGTATCAGTAAGATAGGTTCATTAACAAAGAAATCATTGTTAATCACAATTTAGAAGGATAAGCAGAAGTACATTTAGATTTCACTTTGTTTTGTTATGCAAACCAAAGCACAAGTAGTCCTCATTTTGCACAGTTCCAATATACGTAGCCTACCAAAACCAAAAAAACCAAACCTACTGCCACTGAGTCAATTTTGACTCACAGCAATTCCCATTGGGTTTTCAAGGCTGTAAAACTTTATGAAAATAGATTGCCAGTCTTCCTTCCATGGAGTGGCTGGTGGATTTGCAGTGCCAACCTTCTGGTTAGCAGTCAAAGCTCCTTATGGGGAAAAAATATTTGGCAACGATATGTATGGCAAGGGACTTCTCTCTAAAATTTATAGAAAACTCCAACACCTCAACATTCAGAAGACATACAATCCAATTTGAAAATGGGCAGCAGACATGTACAAACAAACACTTCACTAAAGAAGATACTCAGATAGCCAACAAACACATGAAGAAATGCTCATGATCATTAGCCACTAGAAAGATGCAAATAAAAACAATAATGGGATTATCATTTAACCCCAGTAATAACAGCAAAGTTCAACAAGACAGAAAATAACAAATGCTGGTAAGGATGTGAATGGGACTCTCCTACACTTCTGGTGGGGTTATAAAATGATACAACTACAGTAGAAAACAGTACGGCACTTTCTTAAAAAGTTGGAAATAGAAATACCATTTGATCCAGTAATCCTATTACTAGGTATATATCCTAAAGAACTAAGAACCAGGACAGGAGTAGATAATGCACACCAATAGTCACTGTAGCACTATTCATAATAGTAAACAGAAACAAACTAAGTGCCCATCAACAGATGAATGAATAACCAAACTATGTAATGAATACTGTGTAACACTAAAGAACAATAAGAATCTGCAAAACACCTCATAACATGGATGAACTTGGAGAATATTATGCTGAGTGAAATAAGTCAATCACAGAAGGACAAATGTTGTATGAGACTACTATTGTGAAAAGTCAAGGAAAGATTTATACACATGGAAGGAAACTCTCTTTGTTGATTAGTAGGATGGAAGGGGAAGAGAGGGAAAATTGCCAGACAGGTAAGAGACAAGTATTAATTTGCATGAAGGGAAAGACAATATACCAAAAGCAAGTGACATCACAGTAACACTAAGGAAAAGAACACTAAGGAAAAGGTGCATGAGAAATACAGACAACAAAGGTAAACACATTTACATATACAATACTGCATTATCAGTAATAGCAAACATTAATCTATGGGTGGATACATAGGTAGACAGGCAAAATAATCATATAAGGGCAGGCAAAAGGGAATATATCCATGACCATGTGTAAGTTTGGCAGATGATATTTCTACATACATATTTGTATGTCTTATAAGAATGTCCATATATATATATATATATATATAAAAAATAAAGCTCTGGTAGCATAGTGCCTAAGGCACTTGCCTGCTAACCAGACGGCTGGCGATTCAAACCCACCAGCCACTCCTCGGAAGGAAGGTTGGGCAATCCTACTTCTGTAGTGATACTGCCTCGGAAACCCAAGGAGGGGTCACTATGAGTCGGGTTTGACTCGACGTCACATAACAACAACAACAAAGCTAACAGGGGGCAAAGTTATGGTAACTTCTTAGCCATAGCCAAATACCTAGAGGGAATGAGTTGCTGGGCTTACAGGCTCAGGACCATGGTTACAGGGGACTTCAAGCTCAATTGGCATAACATATTACACTAAAACACTGTTCTAGAGCCTACTTTAGTGACTAGTAACTAGGGTCTTAAAAGATTGTGAGTGGCCATCTAAGATGTAATTGTTGGTGTCTTCTTGTCCAGAGCAAAGAAGAATGAAGAAAATCAAAAACATGGAAACAATTAGCCCAAGGGACTATTAAAAGTCTAAATTACCTGTGTGTGTGTACCATGCAAATCCCAACCTTTATGACCCATGACATTCAGTAACAAAAGTGGGTACAGATTTTTACAATTAAGAAAAGCTCCAATTCTTATGCAGTGGCCACAAAAATTCAAACCATTAGATGGAAAACACCACACCCAAGTAGAAACCAAATTGATAATGAAATTCCAATTAAATGTCTTACCTTTTTCCAGATTGAAATTAGTAATATCTGTAGAAGTTTCTTCATCATCACTGGAAAGGCCTTCAAGATGATCTGCCATCTTACCAGTTTGCTCTCTGGCTTGTCTACGACGAGTCCTAAACAATATCATGTTTTCAAATGAGATATAAGAGATTCACGCCTTCCCAAACAAACTGACAGGAAACATTTTTAAAAAAATTACCTTCTGGCCTCTCTTTCTGCAATCCGACGTTTTGCATGCTCTTGATACAGTGCCCGATCACGTCCAAAAGAATCAAGATTTGGTGCCATCAGAGCTTTATCTGTACAACAACAATGGTTAAAGTTAAAAGCCTCCCTTCAACAATCTTGAGGAAAGAGTTTGCACAGAATAAGCCATTATGATAGACTGCTTGCTAATCTCAAAATAGCATGACTTTGCAATAACTAGTGACTGGGTAGTTTTTTAGTTTTGAGCAAATCTCAGTATTACTCTGAATTCCTATGAAAAAGAGTAGAAAAATTAAAGAACTGATAATTATTCTAAGATTTCAACAACCCTACATAAAAGAAATTGGGCTTAATCACTATTTTACTGTATAAGTAACAGAACTAGTTTATGCTATTACGATGAGCAAATAAATTAAAAGTCTAAATCACCTGTGCAAAAAGAAAAATAATAGATTACTCTTTTTAAGGAAGAATTTAAGCATCATGTATTGAATGATATGAAATGGACCCAAAAAAAGAAACATAGGTGGGAAAGATGAGAAGAAAAATTTTGTTGCAGGAAACAGTTTTGTGCAGGAGTTTAATAATATACCTATCCTAATTTTAGGAGCTCTGGTGGCACACTGCCTAAGGCATTTGACTGCTAACCAGAAGGCTGGAGGTTCAAACCTACCAGCCACTCCTTGGAAGGAAGACTAGGCAATCTACTTCCGTAGTGATACTCCCTTGGAAACCTAAGGAGGGGTCACTATGAATTGGATCCAACTCAACGACAGTGAGTCTGAGATCCTAATTTTGCTTCGAATAAATAGAGATATTTTTCTCTATTATGCTTTTTTAGAACAAGGAAGAATCATCTCTATAATGAAAACCATATCTGAGCAGGATCAACTTATTTATATTTTATCAAACACTACTCTTTCATAGCTTACTGTGTCTCATTTAATTATTCCTCTTTTTAATCTCTAAGAGCTCTGGTGGTGTAGTGGTTAAAGCATTCAACTGCAACCAAAAGGTTGGTGATTTGAATCCACTAGCTACTTTGCAGAAGAAAGATGAGGTAATCTGCTTGTGGAAAGATTTACAGCCTTGGAATCACAGAGCTCAACTGTGTCCTACAGGGTCTCTATGAGTCAGATTTGACTCAATGACAGTGGGTTTTTTGGTGGGCTTCCATCTGTTTTTAACTTTCTGAAACAATTTGTAGTTTTATCTCCCAACTCTAAGTTTACATTTATGTTTTTAATTTCCAAGAGATGGTTCTTCTTAGAATATCCTTTTTCTACAGAATCTTATACTTGTGTTATGAGAATACTGTCTCTTTTTCTCTCTAAGGGTATGAACTTTAAAGTTTTAAAGCATTCTCTGCCACCTGCAGTGTCTGTTTCCTCAGAGTCCCTTTGGTTCTACTGCTGTGTTGGTTTCTCTGATGAATGTTAGCTATCTGTTCATACCTAAGAAAGAGACAGGAAATTCTGTGTGCATAAAAGGGGGTTGTCAACCACAGGCATCACCACCAGATCACTGAGTGGAGAGCCAAGAGCCCCACTTGTTAGTATTTCAGGGTCTTTTCTGTGGACCCATTCCCTTCTCCAGAGAAGACTCCTTTAATCTCTTGTCTAAGGTAGGAGGGGTGAAGAAATAGGTAGTTATTGCACTTCCCTCATTTCTACATTTTAGTTCCACTATGAAGATATTCTGAAATATTTCCACTAGGAAGATATTCTGAAAAATTTGGGATAGTAATGGGAAAAAAACAATTAAAGGTATAGGAGAGGAAAATGTCACATGCAAAGTAAGACATCCATTTGGATTTGTGTTGTTTTTTTTTTTCTGTTATCAGAGATGTGTCACCAACATCAGCAACAGGGAAAAGTAATACCAAAAATTGGCTTTCAACCCCAGTGTATCCTAACTACCCTAGATCCTACTATTTTCACAAGTTGACTTTTCCCCCTCAATTTTTCATTCATATTTCAACAGCTGATATTAGGAAGGACATATGTTCTAGAATTCATGAATTATAATAAAGGATTACTAGAGTAAACAAGATGTCCCAGCCCTACTTCAACTGAGTCTACTTACACACCATAGATGAATTAGCTAAAACCCCCAAACTACAGAAGTGATTCCTGTCTAAAAGGGAACTTTCATTAGAGAAATATTTTAAAAGAATATTCATTACTATACTAAATATTTAAAATGTTGCATATTTACAGGTTTTATAAATACCAGTTAGGGGTGATATATGAGAGTAGATAAATGACTGAAGTGACAGGCTCCTTTACTTCTGTAGGAACTACCTGCAGTAATGGTAGACAACTGCTTATAATTTTAAACACATGAATTCCAGGCTATTCTTTGGTGCTTAAAAAAAAATCAGAAAAGGAACTGGCTCTTCAGTGTCCCAAGCAATTTTCTTCAAATATTTGGCAGCTAATGTAGACACCTCTGGAAAAATATTTTTAAATTTCTCATTATCTTTCCTCTCCTTCCATCTAATAATGTACATCATTCAACTTTAACTTCAAATTCCATATAAGTAAATAGCTCCAATTATGAAGAACAGATTGTAGACAAAAGGTATTTGATGAAATACACAACTCACAAAAATCATTTCTTCCCTTCGCAAGGTATAATGGTTACCTGTAATCTGCCCCAGAAACCTGGCTCTGTCTGGATCAAAAGAAATCTGGGATGGGTGCATTAGTCATTTAGGTGGCCAATATGTTACTAATCCAGTTTAAATTTGTGGCAGATACAGGAGGGCAAAGCCATTTATATGGCTCACAGCTGAGTCTGACTCAGGTCTGAAAGCCATGTTACTACCTTTATGCTTTCCAAAACACATCTGAAACACAAGAGAATGCTTATCTCTCTGGTTTAGAGGACGCCCTGTATGAAAAAGCATTATTTTCTAAGGAAAATAGGGGCTTTTGCACTTGGATTACCTGAAATGGTTATTTAACATGCAGATTTCTGGACACCATCAAAGACCTACTAAGACTGTCTGGGGACAGGACCAGGAAACCTGCACTTTAAGTAAATAAATATCACAAGTAATTCTGATGTACACATCTATTTGAGAATTACTGATGTAGAAAACAGATGACAAAAAAAAGCCATAAGGAATCCATAATAGTTAATTCTTACTAGAGCATTCAAAAACATGGAGGGCAATGGAAAAATGGAGTTAAAAGTTTTAAAACATCTGATTAAAGAATCCCAGCTAAGCTATTTAATAAAACGTTTCTAACTAACTTTGTTCGCTTAACATACATCTATAATGAAAGGAATATAAATTTAATTTCTAAATTTTTAAATTAAAATTTATGAACTATAAGCATTGACTCTCTAAAAAAAAAAAAAAAATCCAGTATATAGGGCAAATTAGAGAAAGAAACATTAAAAAAAAAAGTATGAAACTTCGTTTTAGTCTAGAAATGAAATCTCAAAACTGCCTCAGTCTTGGAATTGTGCTGTTTGTTATGTCTCTCTTTCTCTCTCACACACACACACATACTTTCCCAGTTCATAAACTCAAAATCTTTCACTGTAATAAACATTTGTATTACTGCTATGAACAGGATGAAAATGAAAGAAAAAAATCGGAGATAAACAGAGTGGTTTTAAGATAAACTACAGATTATATTCTATTGTCCACAGTCTAAAAGGAGAATGAAAATAATATGCCCAAAGAGTAAGATTGATAGAATATTAGTGCATGTCTTAGAGCTCTTCTGTGAAGCTATAGTTTTTTAAAACAGTTTGATTACATGCTGTTACAATAATTAGATCTACCTGACATAAGAGCAAGGAAATGCGTTTTTTAAAAAAAAAAAAAAAAAAAAAGCCAAGATATCTAACTTTCAATTAGGCTGCACTAAAGAAACAAGGTTGTTTAATGAATAATAAAAACCTTCAAGATGGACTGACTTGAATGGCTTGAAAACTCCGAAGATTCATCTTTAATATCATCTTGCCGTCTTTGGACAAGGCGGGAAGCTCGCTGTTTGTACAGCTGATGTATTGCTGATTCAAGTTCGTTAATCAGTGGCACCTGTAAAAATACAACACACTCCGTAACACCAAACTCCTCAGTTGCTTACTTATTTGAGGGTTCCATACTACTTCCGGATTTCTGAAAAAATACCCTCTCTAAGGACAGAATAATCATGAATTCCCAGAAAGACACAAATAGAAACTCCTTTTTATAATGTTTAGGAAACATCACTTCTTCTTTTAATCCATGTATAGAGCTGTATAGAGCTATAATGTCCAGTGCCTAATTATTGGAGCAAAAATGTGGTTAGGAAACGTTAACATTTCAAAATTAATAAAGACAGCAAACACAGAAATGTCAAAAATTTCAGTTCTTTTTCTTTAGAATATTCAAGTAATTGGAAGTCTTTTAAAGTCCAGTTTTAATTTTCCAGCAGCATGGTCTGCCAATTTTTATTAAGTAAATCATTACCATTGTGCAGTATCCCGACACCCAGATGCAATGGCTCTAAGAGTAGGTGAGAACAAGAATCTACTAACTTCCAGTTTTAGAGATTCATCTTGCTCTGCCATTTATATGTACCAAGTACCTTACAGTAATCTGTTACACTATCTTGCAACTTTAACACAGATTTTAAATGTAAGCTGAATGACTGATTAACAGGGCAAATCAAATTTCTATCACTAACCCGTCTGAAATCAGTATCTCAAATTTAAACGTTCCTTTCTTCCTAGAAAATGTTTAAATTTATCCATATTTTGTAACAAAATAAAATTATTCATATGAAAAATGTAAGTTTAAAAACTCAATAAATTTTTCCAGGTTAATATCCATAATCAAAGTATTCACTTTGATTCATACAGAATACAAAAATTAAAAAAAAAAAAAAAAAAAAAACTTCCTCTTTATAAATATAACCAAAAGCAATGAAACTTTCACAAAACACTACCAACCACTACACATACCTGAGGAAACCAGAAATTCTAGTTTCCTGATGGTTAGTGCAAACGGAAAACACATTATTTAGAGTTTGGGAACACTGGCACCAAGTGTTATAAAGCTGAACTGAACAGACTGTAAATGGAAAATAAAAAAAGGCAGGTGGAATACACAGATGTCTGTAATAAAAGCAATTTTATATACTTGCATGATTCCATTGCAAAAACAGCAAATGTTCACGGAAAGGCCAAAATGTTGTAGCTGTTTTATTCTTTAATAAGCCACACCATGGGCAACAATGTCCCCAAATCTGCATTAGTTTTGACAACTGAGCCCAAAGACTCTAGCATTAAAATTTACTACAATCAAACTTTTTAGCAACTACTACCATATTATTGTGATTTCCACTTCCCCATCTACTTTTTCTTTTTTTAATCTGCAAAGAACTGATGATAAACGAATGACCCTAAAGACACACTTGTTCGCTCTTTTGGCCCTAGACACTGTTAATATTCCTCTACTGTGAGGGTGCATCTCTATGCCTGCATGATACTGGCTTAAATTATTGAATTTAAAGCTAAAATTCTGATAATGCAATTTTTATTTAGGTAATTGGAATGTCTTACAGCCCAGAGAAAATTTTGAGAATAAAGGTCCTAAGAACACATTTTTGATTCTCACTCAATTCTTAACAACATCGATTTATCTCAGGAACTTGCATCCTGACAAGTTCTTTAACTTCTCCAAACTCAAAACCATTACTAAATAGTTTTATATCAAGACCAAATTTATGGCAAAGAATGCAAGAAGGAAAATGACAAGAAAGAAACAAAACAATGGAAAGTTAAGATGATCAGCAAATAATTTAAAACCTAAGTTCAAAAATCACTTAATTTTATACAATAATGTGATATTTATCTTCTTTATGGTCTTGTCCTGAAACAGCATTTTTATAGAATAACAACTAAACAGAATATTCAAATCCATCCAATTGTTGCTCGATATTTCCAAGAAAATAATGCATGATATTATTAGCCTGACAGCACTCTTAATGAAACTCAATGTGTATGAAAACATCAAAATGAAGAGAATACTGATCTTTAAGAGACAGACTATCTATCTTTTTAAATTACAAATAGAAAGTCACTTTCTAACATATGAAGTTCAAGATCTGCTTTGAAAACATTGATCTAATGACTGTGTAACCATATCAGCACAATCTGAGGTGGATGTCTCTAGGAACAGGATAATCAAGAAGAAATGAAGAACCTCCCTTTCACCTCTTTCTGCATAAACTCAGCAATAAAAAGAACTTCAAAAAATTGAAAAGATGCAAAGGGGAAAAAAAACTCCCTAAGTCTAGACATCTTGAAAACAAACTTCATGTGAATTATTTTTACAAGTTTACATTATTGTTTTTTCTTTCTATTCCTAATGATAAGTGATTTAGATTCCAGCTTAGTTTAAAGGGGTGTAAATACTAATATATGCGTACACATGTTATAGAGAATACAAAAGAGTAATTAATATTTCTTTGGAAATAAATAAATAAATAAACCCACTGCCATGTAGTCAATGTCGACTCATAGCAGCCCTTTAGAACAGAGTAGGATTCACCATAGGGTTTCCAAGGCTGTAAATCTTTATGGAAGCAGAATGCCCTATCCTTCTCCTGTGGAGGAGGTGGTGGGTTCGAACCACCAATCTTTTGGTTAACAGGTGAATGCTTTAACCACTATTGACACCAGGGCTTCTCAAAGTATTAACAGTAATTAACAATTATTTTTAAGTAGTAAGTAACTATAAGAACTAGATGCCCTAATCTCAATTTAAGAATGGTATACGATAGGGTCACTATGAATCAGAATCAACTCGAAGGAGATGGGTTGTTTTTTATGTTTAATACTATAGTTGATCATTACCATCGTTTTTTTTCCAGTTATGTGTTCACAATGACTAGTGTATAAGTTTATTCAAGTAAGTTCCAATGCAAAGGCCAACTTCAAGAAAAAAATTTCAAGAAATTTCAAGAGACAAAATCAACAGGGATGATTCTCACTTAGAGTATGGTCTGAGACAAAGATCCTATCTCTAATTATAAAAGGTTACCAGAGTAGCCCCCATCACGCCCAGCTCAGAATGGCTTTACCAGAAGAATCACCACCATCAGCTCTGACACATTACGTCCCACTTTGCATCTTGACTCTAGCACACTCCTCTCTCATCCTCCACACACAGAGGAACAGTCAAGCCTATGCTTCTGCCCTATCCCTGTATTTGGCCCCCTAAGCCACTGATATGCCACCGGGATATCAAAGCTCACACTATAGTTGCTTCTCCAGAAGCCAGGTTATAAGGATAAGAATATAATCCTATAAACAAAACATGATAAATGCTGTCTCGGCCTAGACTGCCTGGAACAATGAAGACTCATTAGGAACAAAGTCCGACAGCGTTCTTTTGCCAATCTTAGATTTTAAGGTACTGAAAACAGCCAACAGTGATAATTACAAAGTTTAAATATTCACTTAACCATACTATATGCTCACAGATTCTATGCTAATCCACACAGCCAATGATAAAAGAAAGTATACCTTTCAATTCTTATTACTTTAAAGTTTAGGGACAAGATGTTCAAAGACCATGATTTTAATTTTTTTAAAAAGATAAAACTGAAAAGTACATGAATGTTTATAAACCACTGCATCAAACAATAAGAGGCCATTTGTGAAGAAAAAGGATTCTATTTGTAACTAATTTTAAAAGTACAAACAATGGTAAAATAGAATGCAAAAAACTTTAGAAATTGACTACCACACTAAAAAAATGAACTTGGAAGAAATGAGATCTTATAAGAAATTAAGTCCAATGAATGGTTTCTGAAATGGATGAAGCACAGGCTTACTTAAGTAAAAACAATTAGCAGCAACAGTGACCAACTCTATCTAGGGTAAAAAAAAGCACTAAGAAAATTTTGCTACTTTATGCATATTTTTGAAATTACTTGTATAAGGAGTTTAAGGTTAGACCTGAACTATAAAAAAGAAAATTGCATCAGATAAGTCTATAATTTTCTAATAATTCAGGGAAGACCAATAATCTACCATTATGTCAAGGCAACACTTGCCAAGTCTTATCAAAACGTGCTTTGAGGTATTATTGCCACTAATGAAGTGAAGAAAAGGAAGCATGACTTTGCATCACTCTAAAGTTGAATTCAGTAGATATTTTCTGAGAAACACAGAAATGTTCTACACAAGGCCATCTAAACCTCCCTAATTTTGCTTTATTCAAAGAGATTAATATTTTTGCATTCTTACCTTTTCACTGAAACACTCAAGCAAGTCTTGGACATACCCTCGCATTTCTTGCAAAAATTTATACCGTTCACCAATACCCCCAGAAGACCCTTCTAATCTCTCAATAGCCCTGGTAGAGTCCACTCGGCTTTGCAGATGTTTCTCATGCTGCTGTCGATTTGTTTTATGCAATTCTTTCATGGAATCCAACCTTAAGAACACAAAAGGATAAATATAACACATTTACATCCAAAAAGTCTATGCTGTTAGGACTCTGCAAATTATAGTAATGCATTTAGTTCCAATATTATAATACAAAATACTTGGAATGGCATCTTTTCATCTGTACTGCTCAAAAATGGCAGTATACAGACTTCATAAAAAGTTATTTGGCAGGCTAAACAAAATCTCACTGTTCTGCTTTCCCCCCATATCTTGACTACATTGTTTCAGAGTCCAAGAGTTGCAAACTCAGAACTGTCTTCATCATGGAGTGGCATTTTTTTTTTTTTTTTTTAAATAACTTTTCGTGGCTTCCACAGAAGTAATCCAAGAAGGTAGCAGAACAAAGTATGAAGTCATCTTCTGTTTAGCTTTTGAAGATGGGCCAGTGAATCTTCTTTGCTGATATTCTGCATCTGCTACCCCAGACTATAAGTTGCCTGAGGGAACAGAAAGCTAGTGGACAGGTCTTTAAGAAGTTGATCTGCCCTACCTGTCTTTAAGCTGTTTCTTTACCAAATCAATAGTAACGGGAGTCATCTCATTACTGGGAGTTTTGAAAGGGACTGTATTATCTGTTTTTTGAGATTTGGCATCTGATGATCCATAGGCCGTGTAACTATAAGGAATGCCATAGGATGAACCATAAGGCATTGTCTGGTAAGTGTTTTGGTAGTACATATTCACTTCAGTGGGTTGACTTGCTTGAACCTAGAAAAGAAATGGGATATGTATGAAAACTACTAGCAAAAACTTCAAATGTCCAACTTACATACAGCCTATAGTTACGAACCAACCCCAGTAAAGTCTACTATATTAAAAATTCAAGATAAATACAATGGTTCTTAATAACGAACAGGTACTTTGCTTCGCACATGAAAACATTATTACTGTATTATTATGTTAAAGATGTTTCAGTGTATCTGAACTATCTTTAATATTGTTCATTCACAGAAAGATATACTATATCCTAAGACAAACGTTAGATAGATACAAACTATACTTAACTATTCCGACTTATGTACAGATTTCATTTAAAAACAGACTTAGATAGAACTCATTCATAATCCAAGGACTACCTTTACAGTATAATTAAATGAAAACAAATAACTGTAGAGTTCTTCAAAATCAAACAAAAGGAGGTTTGGATGAATGTGCTATCTCTTGATGCTATCACTAAATTTAATAATTTTCAAGAAATACAGTAACATGTTTAGTGTTAAAAGGAATACTAAACGTAATTAAACACCATTTTATCACTGGAAGAGGATAAATGACTTACCTGTGGTCACAGAATAAAGGGACAAGCGATTACAATCTATGACGCCTGACACCTGGAGTCCAGGATTTTGCCTATTACGCCCTTTTTTCTGAACATAAGGGCAAGTAAAAGTTTGCCCCAAAACATTACTACAAAAAGTTTATAGGTATGTAATCTTTTCCACTATACCACTTACATCTATAAAACATTGTTACAACTATTTAGGAAAATATTTTTCACCTATCTCAGTAAGTTTTTGCATTACTGAGAAACCATCTCCTATAAAATAATTTTGAAGGTCAGAAAAAAATAAGTTATACAGGGGGGAAAAAACATTTTATCCAAAGCAGTGGTCCTCAAACTTTAGTGGGCATCAGGATCATCTGGAGGGCTTGCTAAACAGGTTGCTGGGCCCCACTCCCCAGAGTTTCTGATTCAGCAGCTCTGGGGTGAGGCCTCAAAATTCACATTTCTGTAAGTTCTCACGTAATGCTGAGTCTACTGCTCTGCAGGCCACACTGAGAAACAATGACCTAAGGAACTATAAATTCTTCCATCATTCTGACTATAAAGAGCAAAATATAATAGAGTCTATAAAAGTCCACTAGACATCTTACCCTGTGATTTTCTTGACTATGTTACTTGGATGAATGACAAAAGTTCTATATATCATGTTTTCAGTTTAACAAGATAGACAAAAAGCTTTTTTGTTTTTAAAATTTACTTCTTAATTCTTACCTGAGGGATATTAATTCCTTTTCTTATCTGTTCCTGTTCCCATCGGCTGAGCTCTTCATCTTGTTCCCCAGTTACTAAAGCATCATCATCGCTCCCTTCAATACCTGTAAATGTAAGCAGCAAAGACAAGTAAATACTAGGAAAAGGACAGGATGCTATCTTGCTATTATTGTACAATAATTAAACAAAACTATTGATATTAACTCAAGCTTACTAAAAATAAAATGTTTATTATAATTTTTTCTCTGTCATTTCATACTCCTAACTTGCTTGTCTTAGAGTATTCCCTGAAGCTAAAGGCAGCTTAATGCATTGGTTAAAACCTTAGGCAGCTTTCCTCATAACCGTAAGATTTGACTTAAACAAAGGGAAGAATAAAACCTAATGTTTCCCAAGAATGTTGTGAGGATTATATAAATTTATACATGTAAATTGCTTAGCATAGTACTAGGCACCCTTAATATACATTAGCCATCATAATTATAGTTCCTAAAGTCCATTGAGACACTTGTACTCAAGCAAGAACAGTCCTCTAACATAAAACAGTTAAAAAAATAAGTGCAGGTATTTTTTTTTAATACACAAGCAGTCCCCAAGTTACCAACATCCACCTTATGGACAACTCTTACTCGCCCTTTAATGCAGGGCTATGAACTGGTTTGTCATGGCTGACAAAGTGAAACAGGAACAGAATAGAATTCTTACAATTCAGGTGATCCAGAATACTAACCAGAACAGGAAAAATTATGGCAAAAGCCCTGGAATGGGAGACTTGGAAGAGGGGTAGTGAGCTCTTTCAGGAGTCTGATGCATGAGACTGTCCTGGTAGGATGAGGGAGAGCCACACATATTTAAAGTGACATGGCTGGTCATCACCTTTGACCAAAGGAAACAAACTCACCGCCCTCAAGCCAACTGCGACTCACAGCAACCCCTCCTTGGGTTTCCAAGGCAGTATCTCTAGATTGAGCTCCTATCACCTTTGAAGCTCTGTTTTAATGTTATGTAAATTTACTCTCACTTTGAAGAAATTAGGCCCTCTGGTGGTAGTACAGTGCTCCTAATTTCTTCAAAATGAGAGCAAATTTACATAACATTAAAACAGTGGGACCTCTGGTGGCTTAGTGCCTAAAGCATTTGACTACTAACCAGAAGGCTGGCAATTCAAACCCACCAGCCACTCCTGGGAAGGAAGACTGGGCAATCCACTTCCATAGAGATACTGCCTCTGAAACCCAAGGAGGAGGGATTGCTATGAGTCGCAATTGATTGGACAGCAGTGAGTTTAACTCTTTTTTTTTTTTTTTAAAATGATGGTTCAGTGGTTTAAGTATTTGGCTGATAACCAGAAAGTGGACAGTTTGAACTCACCAGCACTCCACAAGAGAAAGATGAGGCAATTTCCTTCCATAAAGATTTACAACCTAGGAACCCTTATGGGACAGCTTTAGTCTGACACACAGGGTCACTATAAAGAGCCTTGGGGGTATAGTGGGTAAGGCACTTGGCTGCTAACCAGAAGGTCAGTGGTTCAAACCCACCAGCTGCTCCATGGGAAGAAGATAAGGCAATCTACTTTAATAAAGATTTATAGCCTTGGAAACCCAACAGGGGTCGCTTTGTGTTGGAATCAACTCGATGGCAGTGGGTTTGGTTTGGTCTGAAGCAAGTGAACCACCCTTACAACAGATTTTTTTGTCACAGTCACCTTCACTTGCTGCATGTGCACCTTTCAGCCTTTTCTTATAAGGCTGAATAGAAGCATAAGCAACTGTTCCGACTGACCTACATATTCTTAATGACACAGTTAGGAACTGATCTCATTGGTAACCTGGGGATCGCAGGTAGTATCAAACCACATTAAAAGCAATGCAGTGAGCTTATTATCATTTAAAATTATGTTACCTATTTCCTCAGCGATTTTTTGTCTTTGAGACTTTTCTTTCACAGAAAAAACTATCCGTCGCTTCTCATCATCATCTTCATCATCACTAGCATCATTCTCATCTTCCCTAACAAGGCGGCCTTTACCAGGCTCATTATCATGAGGAGTGAAATCTCCCAATTCCCGGGCCATCTGACGCTTTTTCCTCGCAGCATGTATAAAAGCTGCATCTGGAATTTCTCCTGGAAATAAACAGTAAGAGAATTATAAAATATGGCAGTACTAAGATATAAATTTTCTGTTTCTTTGAAAACATGAAGGATAAAATAATCTCATCAAGATAACCTTATCATCGCGATGCTCTATGTTTGCTGCTGGTACCCTTTCTCAAACTGTACCTGCAGTCCAGCTGATTTTTTTAAAAAATTTTAAAATTAAATCTGATATGTTTATTATTAGGAGAATAAAAATATCTAACACAGATTTATAGTGATGGTTGTACTGTTGTTGTTGTTGTTATGTGCCATCGAGTCGGCCCCGACTCATAGCGACCCCTCCTTGGGTTTCCGAGGCAGTCTCACTACGGAAGTAGAATTGCCCAACCTTCCTTCCGAGGAGTGGCTGGTGGGTTTGAACCGCCAGCCTTCTGGTTAGCAGTCAAGTGCTTTAGCCACTATGCTACCAGAGCTCCCTCCTGATGATTGTACTACTCAGTGAAATTACTGAAAAGCATCAAATGGTGTACTTAAAATAGGCACATCTCATGATTCAATGAAGTTGTTTTAAAAATGTTTACACTGTCAGCCACTTGGAGGGAGATCTCTGTAGGAGATCCTGGACAGAATGGGAGAACAGTGTGGAACAAAACTCAAAATCGTTGGGGGGTGGGGGTGGGCACTAGGTTTGCTGGTCTGATACAGTCTGATGGAACCACCGAGACTATAGCCCCCTAGTTGCCCTTTAGGTCGGGAATTGAACCCACTCTGGTGGCTTCCAGCCAAACAAAAAACAGGCATATGAGCTGAACATTTACAATAGGTAGATACACTCCTTGGAGAGATCAGTCATGGGAGAATAAAAGAGCTGTGTATGCACAGAGAGACAGCCAGGAGGCAGGTGTATGGAAGGGAAGGACATGGAAGATGTAACTTTAGGGAGTGAAAGGGGAGCTGTTCTATTGCAGGAAATTGTAGTCATGTCATGAGAAAAAGTATATGTGAGCTGATGTATGGAAAGTACATTTAATCTGTAAACTTTGACCCAAATCACAAAATAATTGGGGGGCGGGGAGTTCGGTATGTTTAATGGTCTTTAAATTTAGTAATTACAAACAAGAGAAAAAAATTAGGTATGGAAATAGCTGATTCATTTTTAATTCCATTTAAATGGAAACTAAAAGTCACAGAAATATGTAACAGTAATACGTATGAGAAAGAGTGAAGGGAGGGATAAGGGGAAAGAAAAGCTACCAAATCAGTTGTACTTTAGTGGATTTTTTTTTTCCTTATTAAATAAACAAAAACAATTAAACCATTTTCACTTTTGTTTTATCAGTCTTCCAATAAGCAGATAACAACTGGAAAACAGATAAAAGCAAAAGTCACCCACCATCTCATGACCCTAAAAAAGCATTATTAGACTTATAATATGATAATATGTGAGAGGGTATTTCTCTCACAAATATTGTTTTTGGTTTATCTATAAACATATTGAATTCTGTATCTAATTTTTCTTTATATTAAATCATAGTAAGGTTTTTTCCATGTTGTGGTCCATAGTAACATGAAATGACTGAACAGATAAAGCATAATTTATTCACAATAAACTCTTTTCCCTACAGTAAAAACTACTGTCATCTTGTTGTTGTTATTTGCCGTCGAGTCACCCCCCGACTCATAGCAACCCCTCCTTGGGTTTCTGAGGCAGTATCACTACGGAAGTAGGATTGCCCAACCTTCCTTCCGAGGAGTGGCTGGTGGGTTTGAACTGCCAGCCTTCTGGTTAGCAGTCAAGTGTCTTAGGCACTATGCTACCAGATTACTTGTCTGTTATTTTACAGCTGTGGTGGTTACATTTGTGTCAACTTGGCTAGGCTTGGTTGAGTGGCTGGGCAGCTGGATGTAGTAATCCCTATGAGGAGACTGGTAATCAATTCCATGGTGGAATCTACTGTGAGAAGCTGAGTAGCTGCCTTTGGGATGTGGTTTGCTTCTCATACATAAGTAGCAGCTTTGGGACTGGTCTCTAGTTTATGGCATGCCTGAACCCTCCATGTAGCCGTGTCATTGCTCAGCAGCCTGCCATGCTCTGCTGACCCTGGGACTTGCAATGGACTCGAATTATTGGCCTGTCATGTGGTTTGATAACATCAGGACTGTGCCTCTTTACTTGTCAACCTTTGGCTTGGCAGCCTCAGCAGCCAGCAGCTGTCTGAGTAAAGAAAAGCCTCCAGCTTCAACTGGATGAGCGCAGGGGGCAGAGCTGAAGCCCAAGGTTGACGGGCTTTCACTCAGCCCCTAGAGTCTTGCACTTTGAATTTGGACTTAAAGCCTCCAAACTGTAAGAGAATAAACTCCTGTTTGTTAAGGCCATCCCATCTGTGGTATATTCTTGTCAGAGCAGCACTAGGTAACCAGAACAGCAGCTATGCAATATCCCATCAAGCAAACAGACCTTAATTTACTAAACCATTCCCCTCCTGCTAGACACCTTTTCTAAATTTTGCCCATTACAAGAAATGTTATAAAAGCACCGTATCCTCAGAATTAATTTCTAGAAATGAAATTAGAGTCAACAGGTAAGAATATTTTGAAATCCATTAATTCATATTAGCAAACAGCTTTACATGAAGACTGTGCCAACTGTTACTAGTGACATACCAAAGCAGTGTTTGTTTTTTTTTAAATTTTATAAATGTAACAAATTAAATGGTACTTCCTCATAATTACATTTGGCTATTCAAGAGCTGATTAGCCAATGTACAGATTTACAAACTATTTCCTCTAGTGAAGGAAGAAAGTGTGCACATAAAACAGCAGTTAGTTTTGCTTCTCAGTAGCGGTTCTGAAAAAAAATTTATGGAAAAGAGTACCAGTCTTATTTGGAAAAAAAAAACCTTTAGTTTATTTTGCACATTTACTTGAAAGTCTATTTGCATTGAAAACAAAATTGCCTATCTGTGAATAAATCTGAGAAAGCTGGAAAGCTTCTAGTTATCCCATTTTCTGTACATGCAAATGTAAACACCTGAGTTCAACACAGGGCTAGCATAATGAAAAATACCACTTAGCTCTCTCCCTTAACAATGAAATCTAAAGACAGCCCTTCCTGAGGGCTTATTTCAGTTGTGAGAAATGTTTTGAGTTCCAAGTACCTACCTGGACGGAGAACATTCAAAGAAGATAAAGCATTTGAAAAGGCTCCACCAGCCTTTGGCTTTTCTTCCTCCTTCTCACTTTCCATATCCATTTCATCTTCACCATGTTCACTAATAATCACTCCATCTTCCTGATTTGGATCCTTAAGATGCCCTGTTTTGTCCAAAGGTTCTTCATCTAAATATTTGAAAAAAGTAATTAATTAAGATAGATTGGACTCACTTCACTAAAGCTTGATTTACTTTGTTCATAAAAAACTCAAATGTTGATGCATGAAAATAAACTATTGCAACAATAAACATAACCAGAAGGGGGGGAAAAGGGGACAGAGGAATACATTTGGGGCCCTACTCAATCCCTTGTATCTCTTTCATGCATTATTTCATTTTATGTCAGTATTTTATTATGTTCTAAACCCACTTAAGGCAGATCTCTGACAAAAACAAAGTTATGTTTATAAACCAGATAAATCTCTCTGTAATGGGATACCTTATGGTGTATGATTTCAGCTCACAACCACTTCTCACCCATCATCCAAAGGGGTGAGTCCTAGACAGTCACATTTACACTGTAAAGCCATGACTGAATGTATACAGTAGATTTCTGACCCAAGTAGAGACAATCTGAGTCTCTTTCTGCAAATCTGGACTTGGGGCAGAGAGACAAGTTAGAGACCAGGTGGCATAAGAACCACATGTAAAAAAAGGGAGGAGATGTGGAGTGGCCACATTCTGTTATGTACACAAAAAAGAGATCTTGCTCATCCTCAGTCCAGTCTGTTCCTGAGGCCTGTTTCAAGGCTGTTTTCCTGCCACAGGGTTCCAGCAGGTACCACTGTGTCTTTTGATAAAAGCTCCTGTTTTACACTATTTCTAACTAAATAATAGGAGCACTGGTGGCACAGTGGTAAAGCTCTCAGCTGCTAAGCAAAAGGACAGTGGTTTGAGCCTATCAACTGCTCCGTGGAAGAAAGATGTAGCTGTCTGCTTCCAGCCTAAGAAACCCTATGGTATAGTTCTACTCTGTCCTATAGAATTACTATCACTTGGAACAGACTCAGTGGGAATGAGTTATAACTAAATAGTGCCTCTCTCCCAGGTATTGTTTCCAGAAAATCAAAGTGTTCTGAACATTAAAGTACCCTGATGCACATAACAGGAATGACAAAAGAGTAAAGCAAATGTTTATTCTAAATATAAAAGATATTCTTCTACTGTTTCCTAGTATGTTCCCATCCCAAAAAGTGCTTCTAATGCTCTCCACTCTTCACAAAACATCATTTATCTCCTCCCCCAAATAAAATTTCCAGACATAATACCATCATGTCTCACTTTTTAAACATGACTGAGAAGTGAGAGCCTAAGTCCAACCCTAAGTATATTCCACCTGAATTTAGAGACCATCTCAAGAACAGATTTGACTCACTGAACACTAATGACAGAAGATGAGATGAGTTGTGGGATGACATTAAAGACATCATATATAAAATACGCAAAAGGTTATTAAAAAGACAAGAAAGAAAAAAAAGACCAAATGGATGTCAGAACAGACTCTGATACTTTCCTCTTGAATATAGCATAGCTAAAGCAAATAGAAATGATGAAGAACTTAAAAGATTTCAAAGGGTGGTTCTTGAAGATAATGTAAACTATTACAACGAAATGTGCAAAGACTTGGAGTTACAAAACCAAAAGGAAAGAACACACTTGGAATTTCCCAGGCTGAAAGAACTGAAGAAAAAATTCAAGTCTTGAGTTGCAAAACTGAAGGACTATATAGGCAAGATATTGAAAAACAAAGGAAGCATCAAGAGAAGATGGAAGAGATAGACTCACTGAACTAAAAAGAATTGGTCAATGTTCAACATTTCAGGAGACATCATATGATCAAGAACCAATGTACTGAAGGAAGAAGTCCAACTACACTGAAGGCATTGGGCAAAAACAAAATTCCAGGAACTGACTGAATACTAATTGAGATATTTCAACAAAGAGATGCAGAGTGCTGAAAGCACTCACTTGTCTATGCCTAGAAATTTGGAAGACAGCTATATGGCCAACTGACTGAAGAGATCCATATTCATGCCCATTCCAAAGAAAGGTGACCCAGCAGAACGTAGATATTATCAAACAATATCATTAATATCACATGCAAGTAAAATTATGCTAAAGATAATTCAAAAATAGTAGATCAACAGGGAACTGCCCGAAAGTCAAGCCGGATTCAGAAGAGGATGTGGAAGGAGGAATATCATCGCTGATGTCAAATGGATCTTGGCTGAAAGCAGAGACTATCAGAAAGATGTTTACCTGTGTTTTATTGACTATACAAAGGCATTCTACTGTGTAGATCATAACAAATAATGGGTAACATTGTGAAGAATGGGAATTCCAGAACACTTAATGGTGCTCATGTGGAAGCTGTACATAGACCAAGAGGTCTATGTTCGAAAAGAACAAGGGGATACTGAATGGCTTAAAATCAGGAAGTGTCAGGGCTGTATCCTTCACCATATCTATTCAATCTGTATACTGAGCAGATGGAGAAGCTGGACTATATGACAGAACTCTGCTTGCTGGAAACAAAGAGGACTTAAAACACTTACTGATGAAGATCAAAGACTACAGCTTTCAATATGGACTACACTTCAACGTAAAGAAAATCCTCCCAACTGGACCAATAAGCATCATGGTAAACAGAGAAAATAATGAAGTTGTCTAGGATTTCATTTTACTTGGCTCTACAACCAACGCCCATGGAAACAAGAGTTAAGAAATCAAATGACATATTGCATTGGGCAAATGTGAGGTAAAAGACTTCTTTAAAGTATTAAAAAGCAAAGATGTCACCTTGATGTCTAAGGTGCACTAATCCAAGCCATGGTATTTTCAATTGCCTCCTATGCATGTGAAAGCTAGACAATGAATAAGGATTCCGGCTGAAGAAGTGATGTATTTCAATTATAGGGCTGGCAAACAATATTGAATATATATGATGGACTGCCATAAAAATGAACAATCTGTCTTGGAAGAAATACAGCCAAGATGCTCCTTAGATGTGAAGATGGTGAGACATTGTCTCACATACATGGGACATGTTATAAAGAAGGACCAGTCCCTGGACAAAGACATTATGCTCAGTAAAGCAGAGGGTCGGTGAAAAAGAGGAAGACTCTTAGCTAGTTGGACTGACACTGGCTGCAACAATGGGATCAAACAGCAACGACTACAATAACAGCACAAGACCACAAGTATTTTGTTCTGTTGCACACAGGGTCACTGTGAGTTGGAACTGAGTCATAACACCTAACAACAGCAATGATGGCCATTCTATATACGTACTTTTGTATCTCAAATTTTTCACTTACCATTACTGTAAAGTGTTTAGTACTGAGTCGACAGCACCTAACAACTGAGAAGCTTTAGGTCAAGGCTTTTCAATTTTTTTTTCATTTGCCATCCTATGTCTTTAGCCATAGACTTCCTTCTCAAGTGCTGGGGCTATGAAATTTTAAAACCTGCTTTATCAGATGTCTAGTTAGACATTCTACTTCTGTAGTAATACTGCCTCAGAAACCCAAGGAGGAGTCGCTATGAGTCGAGGCCAACTTGATGGCACATAACAACAACAACAGTTAGACAGTAAAAAGCTTCCTATTTCCTTCTACTCTAAACACACATGGAAGCAATGGCTTTTAATAGACTGAAAACAGAACTGCAAAAGGTATACTAGATCAGATATGTTGAGATGATTTCTGCAGTTTAAAAGATTCAATGTTTCATTAAGTTCACAAGTACTTGCTTGTGACTGAGTGAATTGACAGGTGAATTTTGCTTTAGCAGTCACATCTCAACAGAGAAAGTCTTTTGTAAGGCTCCACTGATGCCCTAAATTTCATTTACTTTTACATCAGGAATCTTGCTCTCACAATTAACGCTTTGCCTTAAGATCTGTCTTAAGTTCTCTCCACTGGTTTCTCCCCTCTGTCAACACAGAGATACAGGCTTCCTTTTTATCAAAAGAACTTCGTTTTGGTCCCTCTGGCTATTGTCCTGTTTCTCTTTTCTTAGCCAAACTTCCCAAAGAAGCAATGTGGTCCTGTGGCCTTCTATTTCCTTACCAACTTGTGTGCCTTAATCCTGGCAAACGACTTTTGATCTCTCCCAGTCTAAGCTCACCAATTTAACGTGTTGGATGCTGCCACAGCTATTTTACACAGTATCGCTAAGCAATTTAGCAAAAGGCATTTCTTTCTCTGAGTAGCTGAAACCCTGTGGGCACAGAACTTAGCCAGCAAACTACTACTCCCTTCTTCCAGATGCCTCCTCCAGAGAAAATTCAAGCAGCTCTGCCAAGAGCCCCTCCTGATCCTCACTTTTCCTGACCTTTCCTGTTTTAACTGACCATCATCTTCTTGAAACTTCCCTCCTTTGAACTTTCTGATTCTTTTCTCTCTTTTGGTGAAGCCTCTTCTCTATGTGGCTTGATTAGAGTGTAAGTCTCAGCCCTCTGTAATTTTTCCTTTATGCTGCTTCCTCATCAATTCCATTCACTTTTGGTTTTAATTGTTACCTCTGTAAGCACCACACTTAATCTACATCTCCAACTATTTATTGACTACTTCCACTTATATTTGTTTAAGAGTGAACTCATTTTAGGAATGTTATAAAAATAGGCTTTCTCATTCAATACTACCCTTGTTTTAAAGTTAATACATCCCTCTGCCTATCTAAGGAGTATTGGAGGTAGAAAGAGTTCTTCTGGATTCTGAGTGAGATTAATGAAAGAGCTACAAAGCACCATAATTCCAGGAATAATGACTACATACCTATAATACCTACCTACCAAAGGAGCTCTGGTAGCATAGTGCCTAAGGCACTTGACTGCTCACCAGAAGGCTGGAGGTTCAAACCCACCAGCCACTCCTCGGAAGGAAGGTTGGGCAATCCTACTTCCGTAGTGATACTGCCTCGGAAACCCAAGGAGGGGTCGCTATGAGTCGGGGCCGACTCGACGGCAAACAACAACACCTATAATACAAGTGATTCACCTGTGGGGAGGACATGAATTGAGTTCTCTGGTAAGCGGAATATTAGAATTCTGTGGGGGTGAAAGGCAGAAGCAAGTCACGAAGATAGTCTCACAAATAAAAACTTTTCCATTTCTAAATCCACAACAGCAAATGACAATAATGCCAACAGCCCTTTCTCAGTCCTCACTTTCCTAGTACATAGAGCTCTTAAGAGATCTAGGAAAACTGAGGCAGTTACCCCAAAAAATACTCCTCCTCCAATCTACCTTCCCTATTTTTGTAATAGTACTCAATTCTTCTCAGTCATCTGGCATAAAAGCTCAAATCTGACTATTTCTTTTAAATATAATAGCTTGCATCAGATATACCAATTCTTCCCCTGAATGTTGCCCAAATAATCCTTTCTTTCTTCTCCCACAACCCCAGCACTAAAATAACTTTCCAACCAAATCAGGAAAAACTTGAATATTGATCAACTGAGACCTTTTAAAAACCACTATTAATGGATCAAAACTGGCCCTTGGGCTTAAACTGCTTTAGGCCTTTAATCTCTCCTCATACCAATCCATACTCTATGTTAATGCCAGGTTAAAGTTTCAAAAAGCCATTCATCATGTCACCATCTTGGCAAGCCATGGTACACAGCACCTCTAAACCCCTTACTAGATAGATACTAATTAGCCTTCACAATCTGTCAAAAATGTACCTTGCACACTAAACCTTTCTTTTACATAAATCATCTACTTTGGCCTTTCAAGTGTACTTGCTGTTTTCCAAAAAGGCCTCAATTGTTTCCATCTTTGGTAACAGCCCTATTTCTTCCCTCTCCTATCTTGTAATTTTAATTATCAAAGATCTAGACTCAAATTCCACTTTTTCTGTGAAGCATTCTCTCCCTTTTCCTTTAAAAAACAAAAACAAAAGAAACATATGCCTATCCCTTGAATCACTCATTAGACATTTTGCAATGTACTGGAACCTACTGTAACCAGAAACCAACCCAAACTCACTGCCAATGAGTCGGATTCGACTCATAGAGACGCCCCCTCAGGTTTCCGAGGCAGTATCACTATGGAAGTAGATTGCCCAACCTTCCTTCCGAGGATTGGCTGGTGAGTTTGACCCACCAGCCTTCTTGTTAGCTGTCAAATGCCTTAGGCACTATGCCACCAGAGCTCTTGGAACCTACTGTAAACTAGACTGTAAATTAGAGATAAAAATGCCATACTTTTTCACATTAAGACTGTAGGTGAGAACCTGGAACATAATACATTCTATCTTTAATTCCATAAAATGAAAAAAACAAAACAAAAAAAACCAAAATTCACTTCCGTCAAGTCAGATCCGACTCACAGCCATCCCTCCTTGGGTTCCTGAGGGATTATTACTACGGAAGTAGATTGCCCAACCTTCCTTCTGAGGAGCGGCTGGTGGGTTTGAACCACCAGCTTTCTGGTTAGCAGTCAAATGCCTTAGGCACTAAGCCACCAGAACTCCCATAAAATGAAAAGGTTTCTTTTAATCTTTACATGAAAATAACTAATGCTATAATGGATCCAAGGAGCCCTGGTGGCACAGTAGTTAAGTGCATGGATGATAACCGAAAGGTGGTTTGAACCCATCAGCTGCTGTGCAGAAGAAAGATGTGACAGTCTGCTTCTGTAAAGATTACAGACTTGGAAATCCTATTGGGCAGTTCTACGCCGTTCTATAGGGTCATTATGAGTCAAATTCAACTGGATAGCAATGTGTTTTCTCTTTAAATAATGGATCCACTGCCCTAAAGACATACTGCTTAAAATTTTTAAACTTAAGTTTAAAGAGGATATGAGAGAAGTCTGTACTACCTACATGCCTCATACTGCGGCATCTTCATCAATATATCAGAGAAGATTGCTGAGTGGGGGTATTACCAAAATTAAACTTAGGGCATTCCTAAAAGTTCTCTAAGAATTAAACTGAGGAAATAACACCAAAAATATCTAAAAACTCTTAGGTTGAAGTGGGAAACTCTCTCTGTTCAATAACAGTCTGTAGAGTACCAGGAAAAACAGGGATAGGTTTTAGCCATTCCAACAGAAACATTCCAATGGTAATGATTTTATCTTTTTAAAAGTGCACTTACTATGCATTTGTGTTAGAATTAAATGACAGAACTGTATTATCATTCCATAGACATAACTCAATCAGTTCAATAAACAGAGATCCATTCAATTCCTATAAAGAACAAACTGTTTCATTTCATCATTTCAAAAGAATCTTACTAGTTTAGTACTTACTGTCGGCTGATGAGTTGAGTTCTGTCTTAATCTTCGATTTCTCAAGGTCTTCTTTGTATTCCTTTTTAAGTAATTTTACTATCTTTTTGCTATAACTTGATTTCTTCACTTTGAAAACTTCTTCATTTTCTTAAAAAAGAAATTAAACAAAGACTGTAGGCACCATTTTTCAGAAAACATTTTACCTTCTAATTTCCTCATGACTAATGCGCTGTTCAAATAGTCAATTTCCATCATCACATAATTTGAACTTATTTCAAATATGTCATAGGTGCTCAAAAATTGAGGTCCACTTCATAAACCAATCTAGAGTAATGAGGACTTGACAATTTTTAACAAGGAATAAAACAAGTAACCTCACAAGAATTTCTTCAATCATCTCTTTCAGGGGGAAAAAAACCATGCTTCTGAAAAAGCATTCACTCACCAAATTAAGGAATCTGAAACAAAATATCCAAAATCAAAACTTGTCAAGTTTGAAGAACTCTACATTCATCACAAACCCATATTCATTTTTTTCAAGTCTGAGCTGAGGGCAAATCACTTTTTAAAACTTAAGTTTCGATGATGTATCCGTTGTTACCTATTTAATTTGAAAATTTGAAAGTCAAATGCAAACCACTTTATCAAACAGTTCCAGAATCATTAAAAACAAAAATATGGCTGCATACTTATCAAACAAAATGAAACAAAAAACAGAATGGCCAAGGGTAAACTGTCTACCTTACTGAAAACAAGAAAATACCTCGCATCAACCGCAAGTGAGATTTCTAAGTCGTAATTTGTTTTTTCATAACGTGGAATTGAGTTACAAATAGATACACACACACCCTACACCTGGTGGGGAAGTAAAAAAGATTTAAGTTCGTTTAAGACCAGAAATCTAATTGCACTGCAGGCAGACTTCCCTGGTTCCAGAAAAACTGCATCGTTATTACTGTAACACGGTCTGTCTTCATTGTTGCAAAAATTAAGGCAAGAAAAAACACTGTCTCTTTTCATCTTGCAAAAATTAAGGCGAGAAAAGTTAGATATCTGTTACCTCTATTTACTTTTATGGGGAAACTGAGGTTCTGCGAGCGATTCCAAGGAAATGCCCCAAGGTCACTCACAACCACGGCTGCAACTGCAAGATTCAAATCTTAGACCTACTACTCCTCTTTGCAAACATCCGGCCTTCCTGGCCAAAGAATCCCGGATAGAGCACCCATCAGGCGTCGGCACGGTAATCCGCAGTTCAGACAGGTAACAAGAACAATCAGGGAGGGCATCCCAGCAGAAAAGAGGCAGGACAGGGAAGACTGACTTAAAAACTAAAAAATGAACTGAGCTCTGGCCCATAGGAGTGAAAAATGTACAGGAGAATGATGAAAAAGAGTGGGTGGTTGTTAAGAAAAGGCTGGTGGCAGCGCGGGAACAAGTCCCCTATCAGAGCAGAAGGCCGGAGGCGGGGAGACAGCGCAGCCAGCCAGGCGGGAAGAAGCTCCGTTCGGGGTACAGGGGCTGGGGGCGTGAGTGAGGGGGCAGGGGTAGCAACGAAGTGGTCCGGGGACACGAAACGCTACACAGAGGCAGTGCTGGCGGTTACCTTCCTCCTCGTCCTGGAAGCTGAGAAGGCTGGCCCTGGGCACCTCTTTGTTCTCGCGCGGCCTCTTTCGCGGCTTCAGCCCGTTGCCGAGCTCTGAGCTGCCCGGAAAGCCGCTCCCAACCTCGGCCCCGAGACCCGGGATCTGCGCGGAAGACGGCGGCAGACCCGGGGCTAGCACTGACTCCCCGCCGGGGCCCCTGTCGCCAGCGCCGGGGCCCGACTCTTCGCCAGTGCCCAGCGGCAGCAGAGGTGGCGGCTCCTGCTCCTCATCGCGCTCCCGCTCCTCCTCCTCCGAGTCGTTCCGCTTGCGCACGTTCACCCGCCGGGCCTTTCGGAACATCACCGCTGCCCACACAGTGGTCTCACACCAGCTCCCACACCGCAGCCCCGGCAGCGCCGAGCTTCCGACGGCGCACGCGCACTGCCCTGAGGTCCGGTGGGGTTCTGTCTTCCCTCCTGCTACCGCGCGCCGCCCAGCGCGCATGCGCTCGCGCTCACACGCGATCTCAGGTACTTGGGGAAGGACGCGCACCTCTCGCGGGAACGTCAGCTCGGCGTGCTGACTACTAGCGGCCTGGAGGACTAGTCGCAGGGAATTCTGGGACTCTGGGTGGTGTCCCCGTGAAGACTGTCCAGCGGGTCACAGAGAGGATCATAGAGACGAGAAGAAAGAGTAAGCTCGACGGTCCCTGGACTGGTATGCCTGCAGTTCGCCTTCCGCACTTACGCGAAGCAGTCACGTGAGGAAACCTCCCGCCAAGCGCTGGGGAAATGCGGGGGGAGGGGGAAAGGAGGAGGAGCCGGAGGAGAAGCCCAATTTGGTGAGGGAAAGTGTAGTTTTAGGAGTTGAAAATTCTTGAAATTGTGACTTGACATATTGCTATTGTTGGCAATTAATAATTCTATTGAGTTGTTGTTGTTGTTGTGTTGTTAAGTGCCGTCCAGTCGTTTCCGACTCATAGCGAGCGACCCCATGCACAGCAGAACGAAACACCGCCAATCCCGCGCCAGCCCCACACTCCCTGCTATACTTGAGTCCATCATCGCAGCCACGTGTTAATTAATCTATCTCTTTGAAGGCCTCCCCTTCTTTCGTGGACCCTCCATCCTACCAAGCATGACATCCCTCTCCAGGGAATGGTCCCTTCTTACAACATGACCAAAATAAGTGAGACAAGTCTGGCCATTCTTGTTTCCAAAGAGCATTCTGGCTGCACTTCCTCCAGGACAGATGTTAGTTCTTCTAGCAGTCCATGGTACTTTCAGCATTCTTTGCCAGCACCACAACTCAAAAGCATCAACTCTTCTTCGGTCTTCCTTATTCATTGTCCAGCTCTCACA